AAAAAAAAAAAAAAAAAAAAAAAAAAAAAAAAAAAAAAAAAAAAAAAAAAAAAAAAAAAGGACACATTTCATTGGTTGAAAAATTAGATGTCAAAGGAAAAAGTAAAATCAGAGACAGTGATTGGGGAATGAGGCATGTGAGATTGGGTTTCCAAATCTCCCAATGCAAAATAGTAATCTTATATTAAAAGAGAGCCAAATAATGGACACATTATGAGAGTTTGGTGACTGGTTTCTAGAAGCTAAATGCACATTATAAACATATTTTTAAAAATAGAGTTTCTATTCTCAATATTATTAACTGCAAAAAAAAAAAAATCATTAATTCCATAAAACAATTAGTTTTTATTTTTTAAAAAATCAATAAATATATTTTAGAACATGACTTTCATCAAATTTATAGACAATTATGTGGGATTAGAATACACACATAAATGTGTTTTTTCAGAAATTAATTAATTTTTGTAATATGTGTGTGTGTATATATGGGAATGTGGGACCCAAAATTAAGGGATGGGTAATCCAACCCATTAGATGAATGTGGTTCGGTTGAGGAGGACTAGAGAAAAGGGCCAAAGATGGTGCCGGTTTCAGTGACGTCATCTTTCCGGTAGTTGTGGTTGCTCTAGCAATCACCATTATCCAATCAATTTTTGACAAATGGTATTTATTAATTTTTTTTTATCTACTACTTTTTTTAAATAAATAAATCACAGTTTGATAATATTTAATTTTTAGTTTTTAAAAATGGTATTTATTTCTTAACAAATCACAAAACAAAAACAAAGGAAAACAATAAGCAAAAGTAGTCTAACCAAATAGTTATCGAACAGAACAGTTTTCTAATTGAGGACTTAAACTAAGTTGTAAATATGAACAAACATGATTTTCAAAAGTGTAAATATGAACAAACATGATTTTCAAAAGTCAGATGGTTATCAAATGAGGCCCAAATTATATAGCTATGAGATTAGCAAAAATAAACTTATATAGCTACGAAATGACATAAATTCATAATCCAAACCTAAACGAACCTATTTAGTTTTTGTTTTTCTTCGGAATGCTTTTAGGGTTTGATTTTCCTGATAATAATTTTAACTATATATATCATGTTTAGGGTCACAAGATCAATCAAAATGAAAATGAAAATGAAAATGAAAATCATATATATATATATATATATATATATATTGCAGAAATAAGACAAATTAACGAGGAAAGAGAACTGATCTGAGTGGATAATCGATGATGTTCATCCATCTGCGTTGTAGGGTTGGAGAAGGTTGGGTTTGTGAAGCTTCTCTACTCAACCACAGCTAATAAATCACTAGCTTTGCAGAAGCAGTGCTTAGCATCTGTGCCTAAATCCACCTGACAACCCACCACCACCAACATTCACCATAAATCCGTCGTAAATCCATTCAAACATAGCTCAATTAGTCGGTCCATATATCCTCGACCAAAAATGGTAGACCATAATTTTAGGATTTTCAAAATCGGTAAAATGTGAAGCCAAATTATTAAAAAGTTCAGAAGTTCATTTTAAAGCTGTAAAATTACCCCTAACCTATCACGAACATTTCAAAATTACTCTTCGAGTAAAAGAAAAGTTACAACATTGTACGAAAAAATCAACGTATTCGAATGTTGTACTCTTGGACTAAATCTATTCCAAACAAGTGTCCTAGTCATGCGTTCTACGTCACCGTCACATCAATTTTCTATATGACATTCTAAAGGATTTTAATACCAATTTTCTAATAACGCATCAATATTCCAAAATTAAAAGAATTATAATTTAGCCAACATAAATTGTTAAGCGAATGATCTAAAGAGAACTACTAGTAAGATAATATATGTACGTGTAGCTTATCTCTAAGAGAACTCATGTATAGACTTACCCAATATAAACAAACTTAAAATCTAAAGCAACCCACTAAATTTTTTTTTTACACCCTTAACCATCAAAGATATGGCTAAAAGGCTAAAGTTTTCTTATCTCTAAGGTCGAGTTTCTTCAATTCCAGTACTTTGGAAAGGGATGATTCCTTAACATGCGTTTTTATATTATATTGGAACACAATTATGGTAACCAATACTTATTAAAGCAAATATGATAACTCCACCAAACCAAACGACTTACCTCATAAGCATTTATGTCGGATAAAATAACCTGCAAGGTAATAGACATTTGCTCCTCTTAGATAAAAACAAGTCGCACAAGTTTGCACAATAACAATGGTGCATTTGGCACCATTTTAGGACAACAAATAATGCTTTTTCAGTACAACAAATGTGAAATATGGAGATTTGAACCTCCGAATCCTTCACATGGAGATTTGAACCTCCGATCGAAAAGGATTCGTATCGCCTTAAAATTTTGTGTTTCGATCCATAGCTAACAGAGTTCATTGAAGATTTTAAAAAAACACTGCAAAGACCATTTAAAAGTACTTTCTAAAGGTGCTTATGAACACTGCTACCCTTAAATAAGAACACTACGAACTCACCATTGCTGAAAAAGAAACCCAAATTTATAAAACGAATAAACCTTAATTACCTTCTTTCCAGGTGCAAGATCACTTCCTCCAACTTCTGATCCAATGGATAGAATCTGATAGAAACATTGTGTTGATTATCAAACAGGTTTCCTCACAGGAATTAAAACAGAGAAAATAGCAACTGTAATGGAAGGAATTGTCTCACCTCTCCTACAAGGTGTCGCTCAAATTTGACGGCTGATTTGGGAAGCAAAACTCCACCAGCTGATTTCTGCAACAGAACATCTCAAATTTATGGAATGTTTTACAGTTTTCAATACATCCAACAATTTCTACTACACATTCATTCGCCATTTTCTTAAGCTTAAGCTTACCTCGGGAAGCTCCTCAAGACGGAGGAGAACTCTATCAGCTTGAGGAACAACCTGAAATCCACGCGCATCATAAAATAACAAGAATAAGCATTGAAATCCAAATCACAAGCTCAATAGCACATAAGAACGAGAAAATCTAAAATCGCTGAGGAGATTTCGAAAGAAAGAAAGAGAAAAACCTTCGTAGGCTCCCATTTTTTAGAAACCGCGCTGACTTTCAACGAACTTCTTCGGAATCCACCTATTCAAAAGTCAAGAAGCAAAATCATCCAGAAATTCAGAAGACGGAATGGGACAAGAATTGATCGAGAAAAAGAACGAGTTCTCAGCGTGCCAGTGATTTGTTGCCGGGAAGATACAGAAGATGAATTAGCCCAGTCGTTAAAGGGCTTTGGCACTGTGACGAACGTAGACGCCATCGCCATGGATAGTGAGTCGAAGAAGCAAAGTTCTGTGGAGGCGAATGAGGGTGAGCGGGAGAAACGTTTTAGCGAGGGAAGAGAAATTCTAGAGCGTTCTTAATAATTCCAAGGAAAAACAAAACTGAAGTGAATTTGTACGGAAATTTCAAAGGATAAAGGCCTTGAAATATTAGAAGTTCTTTGAGAGCTTAAAACGCGTCTCCAAGGGAAGGTTTTCATACGATTTTAAAAAATGTTTCGTTCTACTCTTCTACTGATGCGAGATTTCACAATAACAAAAGACTCGATGGCGTAGTTAGCACTTTAGACATCCGTTCACCTCTCGGTAGGACTTTTAAGAAATCCAGAGAAAATTTGTCCAGTTTTAAAGGGGAGCCAAGGAAATGAAAATAAAAGAAAACCAAAATGGTATCAAAACCAGACACGAGGTGGAGGCGGTGTGCCAACGAGGAGGCTGAGCCTCGAATAGAGGTAGGACACGAGACAAGACTGAGCCCTGAATGGGGTAGGACACGAGACAAGACTGAGCCCCGAATGGGGTAGGACACGAGACAAGGCTGAACCCCTAATGGGGGTGGGCCACGAACGGTGTACCGTAAGAAAGGAAGCTAGCCCCAAAGGAGTGATTTTGGGGGTCGCACGTTGATTGGAGAAGGGAAGTATCAGGTCCCACGTCGATTCGAGAACGAGAAGGGAACAGTATAAGGATGTAAAGATCTCTCAAACAGATGAGATTTGGAGCAATGAACAGCCCATGTTTAGCTGCAAGTTTCAATGATTTCTAGACAATAACTACAAATTCATCACAAATGCCCTTATTTTCTGAGCAACAACAGTTTAAAGCCTCAGCTCTATGCCATAAACAAGGACGCCACTCCTATATATTACATCTGCAAGAGCCCCAAGTGCTATACTAAGTCTGTAGAGCCGATTTCGTTGTCAAAAATCTACGAAACTGAACGCATCAACTCAACTAGAACAGAATTAAACGATATCGAAGTCAAAACTCGAACAGGCGCAACTCGACCATCCCTTCTTTTCTTTTGGGAGAAAACCAGAAAACAGCTTTTCCTGATTCAAGAAGCTTGAATGAATAGTTTAGGCTTAATATTGTGTCCTCGACATGGGGTCCGCGCTTGACGGAGGTAGAGCCGAGCATAAGCCGGGAATCTACTCGGAAAACGATCGGGCCTGCAATCTGCAAATGGGATTTCTTCTTAACATCATGAGTTTCTTATATCATGCCTAACAGATGAGATATATGAATGGGGGCAGCTGCACTAGAATCACAAACTTAGAAGTTATTACCTGCTGTTGGAAGATCAAATTGAGCCTAGGGGTAGATTTTGATCTCTCCAGATCATCAATAGATTTCTTGAACCCATTGAAAACTCTTTTGGCAAAGGCTGAACCCGACGAAATATCTAGCCGAGCATCTAACCTCGTGAGGTCACAAAAATCCTTTCTAAATGACCCGTGTTGGTAAGTATAGCAAAGTGAGCCAAAAAGGTCAGCATTCAGTGGACTTCTTTTGTTATGGATAGCTAAGTTTCCATCTCCGTTCGTCCCAACCGTGTCACTGCCTCCGAACCAAGCGCTAAAGGTGCCACCTGATATGCAAATACTTAATATGAAAAATACAGCAAAACTGGATGCTTAAAATAACGTTTTTGAAAGGCAGGAGACTGACCAACAATTCCAGATATGGCTGCATGAGGATCTTTAAGGCGCACATCGTATGATGGTTCGGCCTCGTCTGTCGTCTCAGTTACGCCTTGTTTCTGTTCTTTTCCCCCCCAAAGGTACCTATTCTTTTCTAAAGAGAATGCAGCCTTTGCACATAATCCAGGCATAAGAGTAAGAGGTGGGTCGCCACCATCAGTATGATAAAGAGCCCGGGGAACGCCACCATTCTTATGCAACCCGACCCGGTAACGCAAACCAGATTCAGACTTAAGAGACGATAGATCCAAAGACAGAGACTCGGGCACTTCCCAATATTGACCTTTATGATCAATGAAGAGCTCTGGCCAAGCTGCTTCCAGATTTATATCATGATGAGGAAGCTGAGGAAGCATGATTAAAGATGGCTTATAAAAAGGTAGTGATCACCATTGAAGAAGTAAACTAAAGAAAACTAAAACGTTTTCGATGTTCTCCGATGCTTAATATTAACGGGGCATTAAAAAAGATTGAAGCTTAAGAACTTCATACATATTATAGCTTGGCCTACAGATGCAAAATATATTGCCAATAGGTTATAAATGGTGTTTAAATCATGCAAGATCCTATTTAGGCATAAGATAAATACAGCACCACAGATAAGTAAGCAGACTCCATGAAGAAAGATAGAATCCAATCAGCATTATACTGAAATATGAATCAAAGGGCTGATCTCATTATTTAAAGAACTCGAGGAAACGCGTTTATGATTCATCTCTTTTCCTTTCGTTATCATTTAATGAAACATAAGAGACAACAATGCTCACCCTGTGATAAAACATCGCTTTGTGGCGACGTCCTTTCCTGTCACCGTGCTCTTCCGTGCTGGCAAATACAGATGAAAAGGGAGTAGGAGAAAACTGAGAGCATAATCCATATGAATAGAGTGTCTTGTCCAGAACCATGGTAGCAACATCTTTCAAGGCAGGGAGGAGCTCAAGGTTGTCTAGATCAGAAATAATGTCTTCTTTTATAGAAGATATCACTTTCTTCGGACGGAATTGGCCAACCAATCCAACCCACCTAAAATGTAAATATTCCATTAGATGGTACATCTGAGATTTGTGAAATCAGTAGCAATCTAAACAATGTCAGAGGTAAACATGCTAATCTTGGACCTTTTTCCTTTACAAAACTTGCTTAAACAAATGAGAAAGCAAAACTTCAATACTAGAAACCAAAAGAGTATGTGATAGGCCACATGTAAATGTATAATGTCGGGGCGAGAGATTCAAACATTTGACTTCTTTGTCAATGGTAGAGGGAGGGATTCAAACATTTGAGATATACCCATGTTGGCAAACCGTAAATTTAAGTCAGAAGAAACGCTTTGAGTGGGGGGTAAAGTTAAGTTGAGCTATACCCACGTTAGTAACCGTAACGCTTTGAGTAGAGGTTAACTTTGTAGATACCTTAACCAGTTGAACTATACCCATGTTAGCAACCGTAACACTTTGAATTGGGGGTTAAATTTGTAGATACTTTAACCAATTGAGCTATACTCATATTGGCAACTATAACGCTTTGAGTGGGGGGTTAAATTTGTAGATACCTTAACCAATTCAGCTATACTCACGTTAGCAACCGTAACGCTTTGAGTGGGGGGTTAAATTTGTAGATACCTTAACCAATTGAGCTATACTCACGTTGGCAACCGTAACGCTTTGAGTGGGGGGTTAAATTTGTAGATACCTCAACCAGTTGAGCTATACCTACGTTGGCAACCGTAACGCTTTGAGTGAGAGGTTAAATTTGTAGATACCTTAATCAGTTGAGCTATACTCACGTTAGCAATTGTAACGTTTTGAGTGGGGATAAGTTTGTAGATACCTTAACCAATTGAGCTATACCTACATTGGCAACCATAACGCTGTGAGTGGGGGTTAAATTTGTAGATACCTTAACCAATTGAGCTACCTACGTTGAAGTTAGGAGAATAAACTAAGGTGAGTATATAAACTAGGTAGTATCATAGGGGATTATGGTTTTGGTAAGCTAAATCTGGTAGTTTGGGATGCAGGGGAGCACTTTCTAATCATCCAATAACAGTGAGCTCTGTCAGTATGTTCAGCATGAATTGGTAATCTGAGATTCTCAGTAGAGTAATGACTGTAGAAATAATTAAGCCAGTCAATCAAACATTTGATTCATCTCTACCGTCGAGAAATTCACTGAACAGTCCAAAAATGAAATGCAGGAAGCATAAAGAAAGAAGCAGCCATAACCTAGGAATTTACGATCACAAAGCTCAATAAACCGAAGAGAAGAAGAATGTGCCATTGCTACTTACCAGTCGGCGGCGGGAAACTTGAGCAAGAGCGACTGAAGAGAAAAGGAACCTAACTCCTTGTGTGCAGTGGGGGAGAAGGAAGGAAGAATTCCGAGGGGAAATCCATTGCCGAGGAAGGAGACTTGCTGAATCCGCAAGGTGCGGCTGGCTCGAGCTCCGTCGAGAGGGAATGGTCCGCCGGGGACAGCCTTGGCGGTTCCGACGAGGGTTTGAGAGGAGGAAACGTCGAAATCCCAGAAGGCGGAATCCATGGCGGTCCTGAGGTGCGCCATTGATGCGTTTCTTGTTTTTCTTGGAAGCTCAGAATGAAATGGGTTTAGAGTGTAGGCTGGCGCTGAGTTTACCTTCTTCCCTTATCTGCTGCTGCCAGCCTCTTGCATTTTTGGAAGTTGCCTTGCCAGTGATTAGTGGGTTTTCATTTCTTTTTTGGAGGGTACGCCTCGACCCAAGAGGGTTTTTTAAAAAATAAAATAAAATATATTTATAAAATTAAAAAAATGATTAAATTATATAATATTTCTCTAAATTTTTAATTTTTGATTTGGCTCTTAAACTTTAATTTTTCCTTAAAAATGAATTATTTTAAAAGTTGAAATAAATATGTGACATTATTTAAACACTATTTCTATAAATTAATATATAATTAAAATGAAAAAAATAATAATTATGTAAATTATTATAATAAATTCTTTTGAGATAAAATAAAATTTTCATTTTAACCCTTAAAATTTTTTTTTTGTCTTAAAAAAATAAATTTAGTAAGAAATATGCGATTTTATTTACAATATTATTCATAAAAATTAATTATATAGATTATTTTAACAAAAATTTGTAGCTAAAATGATTTTTTTAAAAAAAAAATTGATTAGGTAAATTATTTTAACAATATCGTAAATAGTAATAACAATTACAAACTTCTATGTAGTTTTAAATAATAAAAAACATATATTTAAAATGATTTTAAAACTATAGAGTAAAAATAGATAATCTAAGAATCTAGAGTTACAATTTAAGGGTGTTTTGTTTATTATTTTTATATATATGATTGGACTAAATATATGTTTTAATCAGTAACTTATTTAATTATTAAAATGTCCAGAATATTTGGTAATTTTTCAA